GCACTGCTGGTGCCTGGAACTGATGTTGTTCTGAGAGGTCACCATGGACAGGGGAGATTCCAGCAGGTCCCGTCTCTTCCAGACTTGTCCGCACTTGCCTTTCATCTTCTTTGTCCATCCATACTTCCTTCCTTCTTCCCTTTCTTCTTTGACTCTTTTTGGTGAGATATCTGGCTAGAGGTGGGGACAGGTTAGCTCTCGTTTGTGAAGAAACAGAACCTGGGGAGCCTAGACTCACACCAGGCCTCCCTGTCTCCACACAGCCCCATACAGCCCCCACAAAAAGCTCAGCTCAGGTTGAGGGTAAGAGGTCCCACCACAGGTCTTGGCCTTGGATTGCAGGTAAAGTTCTCTGGCAAGCTTTGCTGGCGTAGGAAAAGGCAGCAAGAATGTCTTAAAGACACTTTAGGCCCCACAGCCTGTTGGCTGAGGAGAATGAGGGAGCAAATATGCACTGGGGGCAGGGGAGGGGAGGAAGCCATAGCTGTCAGCAGCTGACAGGAAGTGAGGAGGCCCCTTCCTAAAGGGAAGAGGGACTCTTTCTGTGATGACAAGATGATTGCCAACCAATCAAGCATCAAATTCCAAGGAACACCTGTGAAGTCCATGATGATCATAGAAATGCCTTTGCCACTACAGTGACACAACCCAGTAGCTGAACACTGGCTTGTTCCAAGTGAATAAATAGGCACAAAATATTTTTCAGAGGTCGAGCGCTTACTCAAGCCATCAGGTGTGAGGTCCCCGGTCCCATTCCCCAGCTAATAAAAATGGTAACAATGTTTTCAAAACGTACAAATTTTGCCCAAGACAAAAACAAAACAAACAAACAAAAAAAAACAAAACTCAAGATTAAACCTGACCATAACACTGTGGACCTACTCATGGAGGCTCTTCGTTAGCAGCTGACATCCTGAGGAATGTTCAGGCTGCGAGGTACTGAGACCTCGGGGCAGCCAAGGCTACAGTGCCTTCCTCAGACTCCAGTTGGCAATAGCTCGGGTATACCCTGGAAGGAATCTTGGCACAAACCAAGGAAATGATAGAGGATGGACCTGCTCACCACGACGGACAGTAGGAAGCGCATGACTGACAAACAAACATTCTCTCATGCACCGCACACACACAGGTAATAAAAAGCTAGAACTCTGTACCAGCTTAAGATGTTCCTGTGGTTGCCTCCTTGTGTCACCAGGCATGGATGCAGACTTGTTAGCTTATGTCACTCTCAGAATGCTTAAATATTCACTCAATGGCAGCCCAGCCCTGAAACAACAACAGAGGGACTTCAATTCTCACTGCACGCTGCAAGTCACCAGATGGGAATATGGTGGCAAAGATGTGACAATACGTTCCTGAGCCACCGTCCATGTAAGCAGGCTATTCAGCACCATGTGTTCAGGCCTAAAGTTCTCTAATGAGTTAAAGAATGCACCAGCCACAGAGGATGATGTGGTGGACTTTGGGGA